GGTACCTATCACACGGTTCAAGGTATCATCCGGTGTACTGCAAGAGAATACTTTTTAATTTATAAGTGAACCGAACTAATACCGTCTTATACTCTCTTCAAGTGATTTTGATAAATCGGCCTTAGCTGGAATCTCATAACTGCATCTGGTTAATCTATGAGAATCTGTCATTTTCTCTTTACTTTAACAGGTTGTAATTTCATTTCTATTCAAAACCGTTAACTAAATAAGAACTGCAAAAACCAATGCAAAGCTGCGAATTTTATATCAGCTTTGGCATTTCATTAGCTCAAAATCAGTGGGTCTTGAGTTGAAAAGCTGCCGTAGACAGCTTCCATATGCAACAATACACAGATTTTTCCAAAAATGAATAACTTAAAATTCTAAAGGAAATATTTAGTGAGAAAAAGTTATAAGAAGTGAGGCGAGCACGATAAAAGTTTATTTCTAAGTCTTCATTTAACCTTTTTTACGGTACTAAAAACCAGCGAGGAGGAGCTAATTTACAACAATAACATGTCCTTTTTTTTTGTTTTTTGTTTTTTTTTTTTTTAAACCTTGATTTTTTCAAACTTTACTTCGTATCGTCTTATTCTGGATAGCAGTTTTCTAGGTAGAACTTCACCAATATTTGAAGATTTATTTCATGGATGTTGCGCAAAACTGTTATTTTTACGTTACACTTCAAGAATCCGCGTTTGGCATCAAAATGAGAGTTAAAATACATCTCCTAACTGCTCACTATACTTTCAGTTATTATACAGAGCCTAGTTTTTAATGGAAATAACCCTATGGTTTGGAAACGGCTCATTTGCGAACTACTAGGAAAAGAGTCCTGCAACACTATCCGTGCTTGATCCGCTGCGATTCTGCCAGTGTATGAATGTTCATACTTTCTGCTAACGCAGTTGTTATATTGCAGGTAATCTGTAATTGAAATAAAGTAGTCTACTCAGCAGGTAGCAACTTTCCATTAATACAATTCTGCTTGTAAATTTGACAAACTGTTGTCGAGGTCAAAGCATGACACACGGCACAGTTAAGCAAAAATCAGGTGAAATTCGAACTAGCATTACACGCGAAAAAAAAATTTGCAAAATCCACAGCCCTAAAATACAGTAAAAACGATGGCTTTCAAAAACTGATTTTTAAAAAAAACGTACCCTTTGTGCAAAGTTAAGAATTTCTTCGAGACAACGTTACTGAAAAGATCACTGTTAAACGGCCGTGATCTCTTTGCAACAGAAAGGAGAGGTATTATCTGATTTTTTTTTAATTTAGTTCTGGTTGTCTAAAAGAAGTGGCAGCTTTAGAGGTTGATTCACAGTTTTTCTGATTGCAAATTTAGTCAGGCTTATTTTGGTATCTTATAGGTCGTAAGACTCAATTCACTTTGGTTGGGACTGTACTATTGAAGTAGTGATTTATGATAAATACTTCAGATTTTATCAAAAAAGATGTATAGTATCCTGAAACAAATAAATTTTTTTTGTAAAACTGAAGTCTTCTTTCGATAGCAAGGTTACTCTCGTGCAACCCAGACAATGCAGAATTTAGCGAACTGATTCAAGACAACAGTGTAACACTTAAGCCTCTTTTTGCACGCAAAACCGCAGCAGAAAAAATAATTGCAAAATCGCAGCTGTATAAGCGAAAGTTGCAGTAATTATATTCTTCAGAAAGCGTGACCGTAGAAGCTACACCTGAACTGTTCTAGGTAAAATATACCACATATGGCGATTACAGACGGAAAAATAAAAGTTTATGCTTAAACTTTTATATTCAAAAGTTCTAAAAAAAATAATTCCGTTCATTATCTTTTTCTGTTTGCTGTTCTATTAATGTCATTGGATTAGTAAATTGAACGATACAGGTCGACTACAAAGCGTGACTTTGACCTGAAGGCTGCGTGGTGGTACAGACGGTGAACGCAGCTCATCATTGAACTGCCATCGCGCGAGCAAATGGTAGAAGTATTTGCGAGTGTCAAAAATGTAAGTTTTGCAGCTAGAAAATATTGTTGATTCCTGTTATTTCTGACGAATTGTCCACCACCGTATTCAATATCCTCAGTTTCTGTTTGTGCTTGGAAGTGAAGAACAACCTTGTTGCACCGCAACTACTATGTCTATTTTCCTGGTTGACTGCCTTTATAAAATACGCTATGTATAACATCATATTTTCAGTTGTTTAGAATATTTGTAGCCTTTTACTGAAATCTGTCAAATAAAAAAATGGTCCACGTTTGTCTTTTCAAGAGTTCCATGACACCTCGAAATATAAACCCTTCATGTTTATCGTAACGTCAGAGTTCTTCAATTTCAATTACTGCAAACCATGGCTGGCATCACTGGATTTTGTCTCAATTAAAATGTGACTTTTAAAGGTAAATTTTGGATTTTCAAGACAGTGTGATATTGTGTAGTTTTTGTATCGTTATGAACAATTGAAGTGGGAATTAAAGTCAAATAAATTAAAAACAGGTTTGCACTCTCTTTTTTGAAACAATTAAAGCTCTGCTTTTGGTTCAAACTCAACAGGTAGTTTAACAGTGAGATATAAAAGCAATACGTTTTTCGAAATTCGCTGTCAGTGCAGAAGCGACTCAGTTTTTTATTTCTGGTATGTGGAACTTTACTATAGTTATTTCTAAAACCGGTTTAGCATTAGTTACATAACTATTATGCCAGATGGCTCA